CTTTTCTTCCACCTGATGTCCTACCCCCTTTTCTATCTGGTAAAATCACACTCATTCTTTCAGGTTCTACTCAAAGAACACCTCTTGAGCAGAGCTTTCCTGAACTCCCCCTCCCCCTCCATCTTGGTAAATTTAGTTACTTCCTCTTCTGTGCTCACATACTTTGGAGTAAATGCACATCTATGTTATTGAACTTATTATGCTATATTGTGTTGTTTATGTCCTTTCTGCTTATCTATGTGCTTCTAGGATGATGAGGATGTTTTTTTGTCCGTATATTCTCAGAATATAAGCACTGTGCCTGGCACATATTAAAGACTCAATAAATGGTTGCCGGATAAACAATTTCTGTAAATAGCTTCTCCACTCAGCTCTGTTTGTGAGGAAGGTAAATCTGGCCACAGAATAGAGAATGGATTAGAAAGCAGAGAGCCTTTAGAAAGGAAGACCAGCTAGTGGGTTCCAGTAATAATCATGACTAGAGGTAATGAAAGGCTGATTTAGCACAGTGGCTGTGGTAATGGAAAGGAGGAAACTGCTGGGAGAAACACCACAGAAGCAGGGCTGATTGGATTCTCAGGGTCGGGTGGGGGGAGTTGAAGAGGATCCTGAGGTTTTAAGTCTGGGTGACTGAGAGGGTGATGGTATTGTTAACTCAGAGGGAAGACAGGAAGAGAAGCAGATTTGGAGGAAGATGGGGAGTCTGAAGCTAGTGTTGTTGATTCTCTATTTCTAAAGTCAGACCTGCTCACCAGTCTCCACAGGGACCCAGCTCAGGCAGCAGCTAAGGGTGGGTATTCTGGTTCAGATTAGGTCAGAGGAAAGACAGCTATATATGTGCCCGCGGGAGCCAAGACAGTATTTTCCATCCTCGCAAGACAGTAGAGCTTTGATAGAGATTTAGGGGCAACTAAACCAAGAAAGGACTGTAGCATATGATGATGGGGGGGCAGTTCAGACCCTCCACTATAAAAGAAAATTAGAAGAAAGGTGGCTGGGAACAGTGGCAGTGGGGTGAACAGATCCTTCCCAGGATTAGATGATCTGAGAATACTGAGTCTGTGACACCCAGCCTTAGTCACCACCTTTTATAGCAGCACCTGACCTCCCAGAAGACTTAGCCTTGTCACTGAACACATTTGCCACACCCTCTGAAAAGCCCTGGTTTCTAAGGTTCTTTCCACCGGAAGCCATGATAGAAGGAAATGTGTGGGTGGGGAGGGGTAGCCGGTGAAGGGCCCAGGTTCCCGACACAGACTACACCCGGGAAACGAAGAGCAAGCACCATGTTGAAGCCATCATTGCCACTCAGATCCTTCTTATTCCTGCAGCTGCTTCTGCTGGGGGTGGGGCTGAACCCGGTTCTCACACCCAGTGGGAATGAAGACACCACAGCTGGTGGGAAATCTGGGACTAGAGGAGGTTGGTGGAGAAGGGGGTTATGGGAAGGGGCCACACAGAAATCTGGAACCTGACCAGTGGCTTTTACAACAATGTGGGCAGCATTGAAGAGTGGAGTGGGGAGGGCAAGGGAAGGGTACTCCACCTTACACTACTCCTTCTTCTAACCATCATTTCTTCTCTTTCCCTCCCCTACTCCCTTTTCTCCCCCACCTAGATCTCTTCCTGGCCTCTATGAACCCCAGGTCCCTTAATGTTACCTCCCTGCCCTTACCAGAGATTCAGTGCTTTGTGTTTAATGTCGAGTACATGAATTGCACTTGGAACAGCAGCTCTGAGCCCTGGCCTACTAACCTGACTCTGCACTATTGGTATGAGAAGGGAAGAGGGGGTTTAACAGGGGAGAAAGAGGAGGCGGGTTGGATGAGAAGGACTGCATGGGGACCTAGAAAGAGGGTAGCCAGTCTCCCAGACAGCCCACTATTTTCTCATGGAATTTAAGTCAGTTCAGACTAGGTGAGGGTAGGCTGCAGTCAACTGCAGCACCTAAATTTGCCCCACCATTCCTCTTCCTTCCAACCTTTCTCTAGGTACAAGAACTCTGATAATAATAAAGTCCAGGAGTGTGGTCACTATATATTCTCAGAAGAGATCACTTCAGGCTGTTGGTTTCAAAAAGAGGAGATCCATCTCTATCAAACATTTGTTGTCCAGCTTCAGGACCCCAGGGAACCCAAGAGGCAGACTGAGTGGAAGCTAAAACTGCAGAATCTGGGTAATTTGGAAAGAAGTGGTCAAGGGGCCACGGGTACTATTGGACATTGGAGTATGTGGAGTGGTGTTCTTTCCCCCATTGTCGTACATGGGCAGGAAGGAAGAGGTAGGGAGGGAATAGGGATGGGGCTAGGAGGAGGGATAAGGGGCACTATCTTCAAGATCCTGACTTGTCTAGGCCAGGGGAATGACCACACATGCACACATATCTCCAGTGATCCCCTGGGCTCCAGAGAATCTAACACTTCAGAACCTGAGTGAATCCCAGCTAGAATTGAACTGGAACAGCAGCTACTTGGACCACTGTTTGGAGCATTTGGTGCAGTACCGAAGTAACCGGGATCGCAGCTGGACTGTGAGTGACTGGGGACATGAATGCAACAGCTAAGGTCAAGCAAGTATGGGATTAAGGATTCAATCAGCCAAATAGGAGCCCCTAATATCAAGCTCCTGTTCTTTGCCTCCCAGCTTCTCTGCCTACCACCCCCTTGGACTGCTTTCCCTATCGTCACCAGTGAGTTTTCATTCAGGTTCTACTACCTGTAGGCTTCCTAATACTGGATAGACAAGTAAACAAAAGGAAGCCATTCAGGGGATCTGGAGGGGAGGCATTAGATTTAGGTCAGTAAAGGAAGCAATGGGGCTTGAATAGTCAAGAGAGGAGGAAAGAAGTAGAACTGGGAAGAACCAGATCAGGGTTTCTTTAGAACGGGGAAGAACCAGAACTTGGAAGAACCAGAAGATGACACTGAATTGCAGGTAGAATTTTATTTTGATTCTCACTTCACCTTTCCCTCACTCTCTTTCTTTCCAAGGAACAACCAGTATATCACAGAAACAGCTTCTCCCTGCCTAGTGTGGATGGGCAGAAACTGTACACATTCCGGGTTCGAAGCCGCTTTAACCCACTCTGTGGAAGTGCTCAGCAATGGAGTGAATGGAGCCATCCAATCCACTGGGGGAGCAATACTTCAAAGGGTAAAATGGGCCCAATACATGACCTCAATACATGAGCCTGGCACCCTAGTCTTTCTAGCACGACTGTCTTATGCTTCTTATTCCTAAGCCCCCAACTTGATGCCCCTCCTCCCCTCACTGTTCAACCTCAACCCCTAGGAAGCAAGTTTTTTTTTTCTGTGTAGGGTTGGGTCAATGTATCACCAGAGTAGGGGAGTGGATTGAGAAGGAGGCCAAAGGGTGCTCAAGGGGGACATGGAATGTGTAGGATTTCCCTACAGCATTCCAGAGAGCCTGCATGGTGAAGATGGCCTTGGAACCAGACTGATCCCTTTGATTCTGTTTCCTCATCTGTAAAATACAGATAGCGATTGTTTCTCCCTCTTAGGGGCTGTTGTGAGATTAAGTTCAGGGAGTGTGTTTAGCACAGTGCCTGGCACCCACATCATCGAGGTGCCACAAATGTAAGGTCCATTTTCCTTTCTTTTTTTCTTAGGGAATCCTTCATCGTTTGCATTGGAGGCTGTGCTTATCCCCATTGGCTCCATGGGGTTGATTATTAGCCTCCTCTGTGTGTATTGCTGGCTGGAACGGTGAGATTTCAGGAAGATGGGGATAACTGGGAGTAGTAGAAAAGGTTATTTCAGGGTCTTCAGGAGTACAGAACAGGATAGTAAGGAATGAGAGATCACCCAAGAGGGCATGGTGATGGGAGGAAGCTACAGGCACAAAAAACATGAAATCCCTTCCATCCGTATAGGACAACTGGGAAAAGGGTAACGAAAGAGAATTAACCTATGCGTTCTTATTCTGGCTTGCTTTCCCACTCAGGACAATGCCTCGAATTCCCACCCTTAAGAACCTAGAGGATCTGGTCACTGAGTACCACGGGAACTTCTCGGTGAGAATGCTGTCATAAACATACTGTAGTCTGTCAACTGCCAACTGCCTGCCAGCAAGATGGGTGGTGGTGGGGTTGGACAGAGTGAAGGGGAAGGGGAACCTGCACTAACTGTCAGGATGTGGCCGACCAAATGGGGGATGGGCTAAACAGAGAGAGACACACTGAAGAATAGATTATGGTGTGTGCGAGACAGATGGAAACAGTGGTATTGGGGGCTCAGGAGTCTGGGTGCCCCTTCTGTAAATCATAGTGATTTCAGACATCATGAGAGCTCCTTTTGGCACAGGGCCTGGGTCTTTTGCTTCCTGACCCTAACTGACCTCTGACCTGGAAATATTTGTCTCTAGGCCTGGAGTGGTGTGTCTAAGGGACTGGCTGAGAGTCTGCAGCCAGATTACAGTGAACGACTCTGCCTCGTCAGTGAGATTCCCCCAAAAGGAGGGGCCTTAGGAGAGGGACCTGGGGGCTCCCCAGCCAGCCAGCATAGCCCTTATTGGGCACCCCCATGTTATACCCTGAAGCCTGAAGCCCCAATGCCCTGACAGAACCCCAAGGTCCTGTAGCCTCAAATGATACTAACAATGTTCACTACCACTTCCTGTGGCTAATTTTGAATTCTGTTCCTCATGTAACTTAACTGTCCCTTCACTCACTATCCCCTACTTTTGAATTGCCCCCTTATTCTGTAAGTGTTTCTTATCTCCCCCATCTGGCCCTTCCTTTTTATAGGACACTTTCTCCTTCTCTCCATCCCTTTGTCCATTCCCTCCCCTTTTCCACCTACCCTTCTATTGTTTCTGAATCAATGAGAAATAAAGTTTCTGTTGACAATCATCAAGAAGTCTGTCATGGGGGTGGGGAGCAGGGGAAACACGGGATACAAGGAATGTGGGAGGCATGGTGCCGGATTAGGAAAAAGGAATAGTTGAGTCAAGTTGGGCAAGTGGTAGTGCTACTAATTTACTAAAAAGGAGTGCTGTTCTGAACACTTATTTTTCTCCATTTAGTTTTGGCACTCATTCCAGAGTCTAGTTTAGAGTTAGATTTGTCATGTTGCTCCCATTCCCCACAAATCTTTTATAGACCCACCTAAATTCTCTCTTCACACCTACTCTACCTTCTGTTTCTGACCTCATAATCCCTCAACTACAGCCTCAGGCCCCACCCCTAGGGATACTGACTATCCACATCTGCCAATAGTTCTCTCTCCAGAGTCTGCCCAGCCTGGGCCTCCTCAGCCTATGAGGTCCATCTGTCCCTCTGGTCCCCCAACCCTATGGGCCCACTTGGCCCCCCAGGGCCTCTAGAACACTCTCGTTCTGCATGACTCATCAGGGTATTCTCTGAAGAATGAGATGACCTTGAAAGCATGTTCATCTTCATCAAACATGGAGGTGAGGGGTCACACAAAGCTGGAATCTGGGTATGGGCGTGGGTAGGGTTGAAAGCAGTGGAGATCACAGAGATTGTATAACTAAAGAAGAGCCCGCATGCCCCATCCCATTTCTTCTCAGATAATCAGCAGTTTCTGGTCAATACCAATTGCTCTGTTTTCCCGTTGCTACAATACACTCGCAGTAAAGTGGGGTTGCGTAAAACAGGTGAGGAGATTCGGGAGGGGACTAAGGGCCAAGGGTCAGAAGCAGTAGGAGTATCTGTAGCCCCTAAATCCTCATTCTGATAAGAAGGGGTTTCCTCATATCCCTACAGCTTCCTCCAACTCATTCTGTGTAGGATCACTGGCCCCTTTTGCTTCCACCTTCTGTCCTTAGCTGTCCCGATTACTCTGTGGCCTCCCTCCAGACACCATCGATTTGTGTGATGAATCGGGGACAATGAAGTTGCTTTTCCTGATGAAGACCCCTGGAGAATATGCCAGCAAATTCCTTACAGCTCGGGACATCTATTATGTTTGTAAGGTGGAGCGTGGGGCACCAGGTAGAGGCTTGGGAATATACCCAGAGATAGAGCAAGACCTTCAAGATGGATCATGAATCTTGTCCTTAAAGTAGGCACCTTCAATCAAACCTCAATTGACCATATCTAGTTTAGCCTAAGAAAGGGCACTGCCTCTATGACAATAGGTTATGTTCCCCACCTCAGCCTAGAGTCCATAACTTTCCCTTAGGTCCATACCTAAGGGGAGAAAATAAGGTACACCAACTCAAGGTAGTGTTTAGTGTTAGAGTCCTAAAATCTTGGGCTTCAGAGGGGTGGAAACTGGGTGACAAGGGCTAGGGATATAGCAGAAGGCTATGTTTACAGGAACCAAACTTGAGAATGCCTACAGAGCTTTTGTGCCCCTCCTGAAGAATCCAGAACCTGAGCTACTTGGTAAGAAGTGTGATGGGGGAGGGAAGAATGTGGGGAATACTGTACATAGCTGTGTGATGGAGAATATAGGGTGGGACTAGTGTACGATGGAAAGTGAGTTCATAGGAGCCTAGGAAAAAGGGGCAAGGCCAGGTGTGGTGATGCACATCTATATTCCAAGCTACTCAGTTCCATAGCAGCCTGAGCAACTTAGTGATTCCCTGTCTCAAAATAAAAAGGGCTGGGGATGTAGCTCAGTGCTTGCCTAGCATGCATAAGTCCCTGAGTTCAATCCCCTAGTACCTCAGAAAAGGGGGTGGGGACAGGGTCTAGGTCCACTTTAGGAAATTTAAACCAGGTGGATATGTCACTTCCTCCTCCCCCCATGTCTCTGCCATCTTCTCTGTATATCTCCGTATCACTACACCATCATTTCCATCTTAGGCCAGTTTACTCCAGCTGACCATTTGAAAGATGGGATGATGAGGTCTCTATTCCTCAGAGGATGGTTGTCTTTTCCTGTTTCCTAGATGCTCTGCGCACACAATGTGACTTCATGGAGAGGAGCCGAGTGAAAATGCTTAGAACCCTGGAAGCCAAGAAGGTCACTCCAATTGAATCCACTGTGAATCTTCCAGTAAGACTCCCCAAACATGGCCCGCTCCAGCACTCCCCTCTCCCCACCAGACCGCTTAAGTTTTCTCCACCTTGGCCCCCTGGGATGGATTTCCTTTTCAAATCCTACACCTACGACCAAGACCTGACCCCAACTTCTATTGTCTTCCCTTTGGCCCCAGTTTGTAGAAACCTCCCCTTCAGGGCCTCTTTGTTTATCTACTGACTTTCCCTTTCCAGTCCAAATCAGGAAGATCAGAAGATGGGCCCCCTCCCACTCGTAGGGGCCCTCCCTTTAAGACCAGAGCAGACAATCTCGGTAGGAGGGATAAACATCGCTAACTCAATAAAGTGACCAAGTGAGAGCAGTAATTCTGGGTATGAAATTCCTGGAATTTAATGTGAAGTTCCTTTTTCGAGACAGACTCTTTCTCCCAATATCTGTACTAAGGCTTAAGTGGGCCCCAGGCCCCGGGGAAGGGTGGAAGGGATCGGCAGGAGAGGGCTGTTGCGAGCACATGGGTGGGGGTGAGGAAAGACCGAAGTCTGGTACAATGAGCCTTTGAGGGACGGAGTAGGGGGTGGGGTCTTCTTAAACCAGGCTACCTCCCCTTGGGAGGCCTATCTCGCAGCCCGCCTACTCCTGCTGGGGTTAGGTGTCCCTCCCCCACCATACTCCACTACCTCCCAGGCTGAAATTCCCCCACCCCCACCTATCTGCCTCTGGGCAGTCCTTCCCGCTGCCCTTCGACTTACTTGCCCTTCGCCTTTCCCCCTCCCTCCCCCTTATCCAGGGGAGCAGCAAAGCAGCAGAAACCAGAGCTGGTTATAGGCATTTATTGAATTTATTCATTTATTGATTTGACACACTTCCCCACTCCAATCTAGCACATGATACAATCTGGGTAGGCCAGGCGCTGACACAGGAAATGATGGGAACCCACAGCAGGGGTGGGGGAGGGGACAATGCAAAGGGCACTGGGGGAGGGGCTGCTTTGGGGGCTGGGGTGGAGAAGGAGCCCCAGATGGCCTCCCTGGCAGGTGCTAGTAAACCTGATCCACATTCCCCCCATCCCTGCTCATTTCCCAGACCCTCAGCCAAGCTCCCCAGCTCCCCCTTCCCAGTTCCTCCCCTCCCCCTGCCTGCTACCACACACACTTCCACATAACCCCTGTAGTCAGGGAAGGGGAAGAAGGGCAGGGACAGCTGTCAGGGGCCTTAAACAGGGAGGTCTCTGTACCTAACTTTACCACCCTAAATCCTTCCCTCCTTCTCTTCTCCCCCCTCCGGCCCCCTCCCAGGCCCCAAGCTAATTCCAGGCCTTCAATTCTTTCTCCCTCAGTATAGCACAAACCCACACTGGGGCATACAAGAGTGTGGCTGTACCCCAATACCACACTCTCCCAGGCACAAGTTGACAGACAAGGGAACATGGTTTAGGTTTTTCCCTGGGGAAAACTCCAACGTATTTATGCATAGATCCTTCACTAGACCTGGTCCAAATGGGAGCTCTAATCCATCCATGTTCACTATTGCTCCCCACTTCTCCCCAACTTCCCCATGTCTCCTGTAGTATTGTCTGTAGTGTTTGCATCATGTCACTATGACAAAGCCTTCAGAAAGAAAGAAAAAGAAAAAAAAAGCACTCTCCCCAATCACTAGCACCTTGCCACTGTTAAAAATCTCTATATTTGTGTTTATATTTCTTTAAAAGTTTATAAAAAGCCTTTCTGTTATCTGTAGCCTTCCAAAGGTGATTGGCCTGGTGAGCCACTCCAGTGCTCAGACCTTGGCCCTTCTAGGTCCCCTGTTCCCCCCACCCACCCCACACCACTGGCCCAAGGGGCCGCTGCATAAAATCTCCAGGCTCAACCTTGCCTGGCCCAGCTCAGATAAGACTCTCTACAAAAAATTCCTGCTCCCAAAGGCAGGGGTAAGGCCACTGGTGACTTCACATTTCCAACAGCATTGCTGGCCCCTGCTACAAAGCCTAGGAGTGGGTATGGGGGGAAGCTGAGGATGGCTCCTGAGAAAGGGCCTTACCCCCTAATTGGCACAGTGAGAATAAACCCTCTTCCCTTTCCCCCTCCCAAACCCCCTCCCCCCATATTCCCCATCCGGGTAGCTTTATCTTTTTAATTTCCTCGACTGTGTGTGTGTGTGTGTGTCTGTGTGTGTGTCTGTGTGTGTGTCTCTGTGTGTGTGTGATTAGACCCCATCCTAGCTCTAAAGCAGGGGCCCCAAATTCCTGGGGAGGACTCAAGGGAAAAGAGTGGATATAGACACGCCTAGCTCCACCTCTGAAGCAGGGGACAAAGCTTTCAGCCATGACTCAGGGATCTGTGGGAAGAAGAAATGGAGGACAAGGTAAGAGTTTTATCTGGGGCAAGCCAACTTCCCACTGTTCACATTCACAGCAAGGAAAACTGAGAATCCCGCCTCCAAACACAACCCTTCTGCGCTGCCTTCTGTGGGTACTACTGAGGGGCCTGGAGGTCTCATTGAGAAACTGTCCCTCCAATGCAACATCTTCTCCAATTCTCCAGGAGCTCCATTTATCCCTTGTTCTATATCTCTCCCTGGCTCAGATAATGGGATGAACTGGGCATCTAGGAGTGGGCATAGGTTTTGAGATGCTACAGTAAGTAATTAGGGGGTACCATACCTGGTTCAAAGTTGAAGTCCAGTCCTTCACCCCCATCCATGAGGTCGCTGATGATGTTATCCATGTCACACTCCAGGTTCTCCATATACATATCAAGATCTAAATCCTGAGGCATTCTGTCTTGGCTTGAAGCTTCAGTAGGAGGTGTGAGCACAGGAGTTCCCAGAGCCTTGGGGATGGGAGCACCTCCCATGACTGGAGGTGGTGCCATCATAGGAAGGGTGGGAACCAGACTGCTCGGGCCTGGAGCCTCTAGGGGCTTAGGGCATAAGCCAACTCCTGTGGCCAGCTTACTGGAGGAAGGCATCCCCCCCAGCAACAAAAGTGTGGGAGCCTGGGATAGAATAGGATCTACCTGGGTCATGAGGACATCAGCTGGGGGTGGTGGAGTATCAGAGGTGAGCAGGGCCTCCAGAGACTGGGAGCTTGAGAAGCACCCTTCTGCTGACATGGGCCCCTCTGCTGGGCCGAAGAGAGAGGCGCCATAGGTGTGTAAGGGGCCAGGAACCCCAGGATGCTGCAAAGAGAAGCCAGAGAGACTGCTCCGAGATAGCAGGGAATGGGGAGATGTGAGATTGAGCCCATCTAGCAGCTCGAGATCTTCATTTAGGGTAGGAGGGACACCCCCTGCATAGCTGCTGACTGAGGCTGGTATCTCCTCCTCTGCCAGCACCTCAGACTCTGGCCTCATGGGGGACAGGCGGGTGCTGACAGTGCTAGCATTTGAACTGCTTCGTGGACGGAAGGCGGTCCACATATCGGCTTCTTCACGATTTCGAGAGCAAGGGCTGCCTGACCACTTGGAGAAGTGGCCGATAGGGCTCGTTGGAGTGGCACCTTCGGGTGGAGCTGGCAGCACGGATGGTTTCTTCTTGGGGGCTTTGCTGCGGCCCCGGAGCAGCTTGCTGCTGCTATCCATAGAGGCAGCCCTGCGGCGGGGTGCCTTGCCACTCTTGCCTCCTTCGGGGTTCAGCATCCACCAAGAGCTCTTGCCGGTGGCCTCATTGTGAACCTTGATGAACTTGCTGTGCAAGGACAGGTTGTGGCGGATGGAATTCTGTAGGGGGCAGAGGCAGCAGGAAAAAAGAGGCATGAGGTTTGTGTAGGTCGGTGGCCAGTAATCTAATCAAAGAGGAGGTGAGGACATAGCAGGTGGGGTGTCCCAGAGAATAAAAGAAAGTCGAATATAAGGGGAAAACTGGCAGAGAAAGAGAGGGGGAGGAGACCATTCACAGTTCCCCCTAGGACAAGCAGCACAGTCTCTGCTCCAGACTTCTCTGCACAGGGAGCACCAGAGACAAAGTAACAACCTACTGGAAAGGGTCTGGTGCCCATCCTGGAAAAGTCAGGCTCTGGTGGGTGTCTGGGGCTTGTGGGAATGGAGAAGCCTTACTCCTATTCCAACAAAAACTAGGTTCAGATAGGAAAAATCATTCCATAGGTTCTATCCTTTCCTTGAATGCAGGCTTACATGGCAATTACAGGACAGTGGCCATACCAGCCCAGGACTGACCCTTGCCCTGGGCCAGTTCTCTGAATAGGCTGAGGGACTGGAACTTCAGCACAGCTGCTACTCCATTCCCCCCACCCCACACTGGGCATTTGGGTCATCCAGCTCTCCATGGAATTGGAAGACACCCCCCTTTTTCTGAATCCCAACCTTATTTCTGCCAATAGGTGACACGAACCCTTTAACTACATTCATAAGGCACAATCTAACCCTCCTTCTTTTTCCCAGAAGGATCTCCTCTCTCTAAATTCTACTAGTTCATCAAAACCAAGCTTAAGTCCCACCTCTTTTATAAAAGTGGTTGCTTGACTTTGTCTATCAAATTTCGTATACAGTATTTTTAATCTGTTCCACACAATTTTACCCAGTCTATATTGTGTGGCTTAGATTTTGTGTAATAAGTCTCATCAAGTATAAGTGCCAAGGGCACTGACAGTCCCACAGCCCCCAATGGTGGCTCTTTAGAGCACCAGGCCCACAGTACACTAAGATCATAGTACAAAATCAATATTTGCTGCCTGATTGGTAGGTGGCCCTCTGGTGATGGTGGTGAGACTCCTTGAGGCTCTGTTGGCTCTTGAGTGCCATGGGTATTGGAAGCCATGTGTTTTCTCTTCCTCACTGGTGACGTTCTGCTAGGGATACATACTATTCCCCCATCCCAGCAGCCCAGGGAGCAAGATCCAGATTGGCAGCTTCTTGAGCCCCCATACAGCTTATTTTTACTGGTTGCCCCAGGCTAGTTAGAGCCAGTTTTGTCCCTCCCCCCCCTCCTCCCCAACCTCCCTTCCCCCACTACTCCTCAGGAATTTGTGCATAATCTCTACCCTTAGGGGCATTTGACCTCCCACTAGGAGCTCTCTGGAAATTCTGGAGGAGCCTGAGAAGAGCTTGGAGCTTGGAGCAACCTGGAGGCTGAGGCTATGGACAGTCAGAAACCGCTCAAGTGTCTCTGCCTGGTTCTCTAAGATAAGGAGACCCTTTGCCTGCAGAAGGCTGCTTGAGCAGCTTTTTTATTTCAGGGCTCTTTAGCCAAATAACTTGTCTCTCTGAGACCCTGTCTTCATGACACTCCAAATACTCTGGCTGCACTGATGCTTCTAGCTCCTTCAAGTCTTGGGCTCTTAGGACCACAGTGACTTCTGGCACCATGATTCTCTCCTTTTTCATTCTCTAACTTTGAGTCTACTGAGATGGCCCATTCCTTTTCCTACTACTTAGCACCTTTGAGGCCCATTTGTTCATCCCCTTTTCTTTAGACCTTGAAACTAGAAAGTGGGAGAGGTCCAAAGTGGGAGAGGTTAGAAACCCACAATTCTTGAGTGTTGGGGGGTTGGGAGGGGTGACTGCTAATTGCTCCCCAAGCCACCTAACCTAAGCTTTCTTGTTCTAAGTTGAGTGCCGCCCCCTGGTGTCACCAGGGAAGTCAACTCAGGCATGAAACTTCCCCCTGGGAGCAGGGTGGGTGCTTCAGAAGCCCCACACTCAAGTCTCAATTGGTTTTGCAATCATTCCAATGAAAGCAAGCCCTGAGCTCCCTAGAGAAATATGATTTACAGTTAGACCTGAGTTCAAGTCCTCATTCTACTGATAGTAGGTTTGTACTTTAATGTCCTAATAAGTAGAATGTGGAATCTCAGAACTGCAGTGAAGATTAATAAAATGATTATTTTTGTGGTACTGGGAATTGAACCCAGGGGCACTCTACCAACTGAGCTTCATCCCAGTCCTTTACTTTGTTTTTGATACAGGGGACTTGCTAAATTGCCAAGGCTGGCCTTGAACTTGCAATCTTCCTGCCTCAGCCTCCGGAGTTGCTGGGATTACCGGCGTTCAACACTGTGCCCAGCTAAAATGAAAAATTTTAAAACTATTTTGTAAACTATAAAGCCCTATGCAAGTGTAAATCCTAAGGAGGAATATAATCCCACAGTATAACTAACAACTCATGGTTATTTCTTCTACCCTGGAAAATGAACCTAAGGGAAAAGAAAAACAGCTGTGTAGGCTGGGTCCAAGGAGGGGAGCTCTTTATGAGCTGAGACTGTGGCGTGGCAGTCTACCCAGAAATAGTGCCAAGGGTCTCAGTCAGCTGTCCTGTCTTCTGTTGTGTCCAGCCCCTATGCACACTGCACATCTGATCTCACAATCTTCCATACCTATGGGAAGACACTCTGCTCATTGCTCCCTCTGTACTTTGTTGTATGCTGACCTCATCACCCACAGAGGTACAAGATGTCAGTTGGGGTAGAATCCCCCCCCCCCTTGTGATTAGAGCCCATATTTCCCAGGACAATTTTCTTCAGAGTATCTTGTGTGTTCTTTCCCCATAGTTTCTTCGCGAAGGCCAAGGGAACTCCCAACCTTCGGCTCTAAAGTCAGAGCCCTATCTCCTTTTTTGTGAGTAATATTCCTCAACAGTAAATCAAAGACTTTCCCCCAAAGCTTGGATAGCCCCTTAGAAAGGACAGTTTATAGGCATCGTAGGGCACACTGAGGCAGGTTGCAGCTCACAGCCCCTTTAGTGTGTTAGATCAGCTACCTTTCACCATGAATATAATCTTTTAAACTTTTGCCACCCACTCCCTCCTCCTGGGTACAGCAATCCCAGAAGAGTACCTCTACATTGAGTTACTGGGAGGCAAGCAGGGAATCCAAGTAATCCCACAGGAATGGGAGAAAAGGTGTTGGGGTGGAGGTGGGGGAGGAGGAAAGGCTAGGTTGAATCCACACAGTTCCTTCTGCACATAGGATAAAGACTTCTCTGTGGGAATAAGTGTTTGGGGCAGCCCAAGCCAAAGTGCTGGGAGTGTTGAGCAGGGAGTAGAGAATTTGATTTTCTCCAGGCAGGGACAGTGTCTTAATTCATCTGCGATTCTCCAGCATCAAGCTGAGTGTGGCATATACTATGTACTAAGTAAATGTTTGTCTAACTTAAGATTGAAGGTGGATCTCTGGGCTTCCCAAAAGGGGTGGGGTGGGATGGTAAAAGGGGCCCCAGAGTAGGAGGTAGAGGTCTAAGAGGCCCAGGGGTAGGTAGACAGAGGTAAGGGGGTCATAGTTACCTTCCATCCTGCTGAGCTGTTGCTGTCACCCTTGTCCTTGAAGTAGGGCACCGTGCGGACCATCCACTCATAGATCTGGGCGAGTGTCAGTCGCTTCTCCGGGGCGCTCTCAATGGCCTGGCTGATGAGTTCTGCATATGACTGATTTCCCCAGGCATTCCGGCGGGAGCCTCCCTTCCGAGGACCTGTTACAGCGCCCAGGATCCCCGGCCGGAGGCCCCCTGCCGGCTCTGGGAGCCGCGAGGGCAACAGGATCGGCTCTGAGTGCCCCTCCGTGTGTACCTTCTCTCCCAGACCTGGCTCCACCTCGGGCGGTTCGGAGGGCTTGGTAGTGGGCTCTGGTCTAGGAAGGGGCCAGGTGCAGGAACGGGGACGGCTCTGGGGTTCGAAGTCGGGATCGAGGTCTATGACCGCAGCAGCCTCTGTGGCTGAATTCTTATTCCCTGGATCCATACGTGGAGTTGGACCTCCGCGACTCAGCGTTCAGTAGAGCCTGCCACAGTCCCTCACCATGCCTCCCCCCAGGGGGGAAGCACCGAGGGTCAGGAGGCACATTCCTGCCAGTCCCCAAAAAGTCACGAACTTCTCCCTCGCCCCAGGACGCTAGCCCCTAAACTGTCCCTTCCACAGTTCTCCGATCCTCTTCCCGACTACAGCGTGCAGCCTCTGAGCGCTTTGCTGAGACACCACCTGTAACCTCCGCCTAGAGAAGACACTTTTCCTCCAACCTCTCACTCAGCTTCCTGCTCTTTTAAACCTGAGGCACAGTATCCCCTCATACATTGCGCTCCCATCACCGAACGTCTCCTCAGCCGCAGTTCCCTCCCCCTTTTAAGTTGCTGCCCCCCGGACACTCCTCCCAAATTTCCTCCACCCGGATCACTGCCCTCCCCCACGCCCCGCTCCCCCGCGTCACTTGCCCCTCCCCTGACTCCCCCTCCCCTCGCCTCTTCCCTTCTCGCCACTCTTAATAGGGTCAAGGTTCTCGTGGCCCCAGCCTCCCTTATTCCTGCACCGATTCCCCTATCAAACCCCCCCACCCCCCGCCCCCCGGGTTTCCCTTTTGTTTTGCTCCAAGCAGCAGCCCCCGCCTGACGTCTCTGTTTACCACTCGCCGGGGCAGCCATCTGCGCACGCGCCTGGAGAGCCAGTTGGGAAACCGAGTTCTTCAGTCGTGCCACCCTGGTCAGTCTTGGGGACTACATCTCCCGTCCTACCTCGGGACCAGGAGCCCGGTACAGGCGGCAGGAGAGCGGCGTGGCAGGATATGGGGAGGTGGAACTTTAATTATTAGAGGTCGTCGCTGACTCTTTTTCTTTTCTTAAAAATTATTTTCCTCCTCACCTCGCTTTCTACCCACTTCCTTGGGATTTGGGGTCGCCTAAGTGAACGTGTTGATAGATGCTGGACCTTTCCCTCCAGTTAAGAGGGAGCAAAAGGAGAAAGAAAATCTCTACAAGAAGCAGAAAACCGAAAAGCAAGAAGCAAGAAACTGACTAGAAAATAAGATGTATGCACGTTGAGGTCTTGGGTGGGGGACTTATGTAACATAAACAAATAGTTAGCTGATGGTGGTGGTCTCTCCTGTCCCCCTCCACCTCCGTAAGCAGTTTACACCGACAGTGAGGTCTTTCTGTTTCCTCCCACCGGTTCCCCTGAGCTGCCTTTGAATATCGACATTTTTTCTGGTTCTCATATTCAACTTCGCTTCTCATTCAACAGGTCCCAAACGGAACTTTTTATCTGTTCCTGCACCCACACCCCTATCCTCTAGCTATCCTTAACCTGTGAATTTGGTTAGTGGTTGTCCTGGTCTACCAAGTCTCCCAAGCTAGACTGATTTTGCCTTTTCATCTGCCTAACTTGCTATAATCCAGATCCCAGTTGGAAACCTTATTTATAACTGGATTTAAATTGCAACATCATCTTAATTGAACCTCCTTCCACCAGTCTTTCCCCTCACTACAACTTATATTTCATGCTACCAACATGCTTTTAAGAAGCATGCCAGGGCCAGCGCTGTGGCTGTGGCGCACACTTGTAATCCCAGCGGCTGGGGAGGCTGAAGCAGGAGGATCAGGAGTTCAAAGCCAGCCTCGGCAATTTAGCGAGTCCTTTAGCAACTCAGTGAGACCCTGTCTCTAAATAAAACACACACACACACTCACACAAAGGGTTAGCGAGTCCTTTAGCAACTCAGTGAGACCCTGTCTCTAAATAAAAGACACACACACACTCACACAAAGGGCTGGGGATGTGGCTCAGTGGTTAAGTAACCCTGGGTTCAATCTCCAGTACCTCCGCCCCCCCCCCCCGGAAAAAAATAAAGCATGCCTGGTAATTACAGCTAAAATTTATGGAGAGCTTATTATGTGTTAGTCCCTGTGCTAATTGCTTTGCCAATGTTAGCTCCTTTACTTCTCACATCAATCTTATGAGGTAGGTACCACTATCCTCCTCGTTTTATAGATGAAGATACTACTAATACTCAGATAAGTGACTTGCTCAAGGAGATAGAAGAATGGCCTAGGAGACAGAAGAACTGGGATCATATTGCTTTTATGTGATCATTTAATTTCTCTACTTGAAACTTCCTCTGATTTCCCACATTTCTATCTGGTAAAGTTCAAACTCCCTAGCAAATCTCTTCATACTCAGGTCACTTCACACCTTTCTTGCCTCATCTTTTGCTGAGCACAGTATTCCAACCAGCCAGAGTTTCCTACTATTTCCTAGAAATGCCATGCCCTTTCATACCTTTTCCCACAGCATCCTGTGATGTCTTCATTCTTGTCATCCTTTTTTTTTTAAATATTTTATTAGTTGTGGATGGATACAATATCTTTATTTTTATTTATTTATTTTTATGTGGTGCCCAGGATCGAACCCAGGGCCTCACGAGTGCGAGGTAGGTGCTCTACCACTGAGCTATAATCCCAGCCCAGTCATCCCTTCTTCAAGTCTCTTATTTTGTAAACTCCTATTCATATTTCCCTATCTCACCTCAGGTGCAGTTAGTTCCCCTTTTACTGTATTCCTAAGCACCATGAGCAGGCTCATATTATATAGTGCAAACCATTTTTGTTTATTTGTCTTTCTCCCAATAAACTGTGAGCTCCTTGAGGGCAGAAACACATTTTATGTATCTCTGTGACCTCAGCTCTGGGTCATATAGTAGACAAGAAATGTTGGTGGAATGAATGTATTAAAGGGATCAGGAATCAAATGATATTACACTTGGACATTTAATAACTTTTAAATAAATATATGAATTCTCTGCCTGGCCATGTTCTGCTTTTCCTATTAGACAACAAGCTTCTAGGGGCAGGGACTGTAATTTGATTTGTCTACCATTTGCAGTGTTTCCTGATACATATTCTGTGATGTCTGGTGAGGAAGGATATCCATGCAACCAGGACTTTTCAGCAGTTTCAGCACATTGGCCGTTCACAGTGATATTAGCCTCCCTATGGTAAAATAACCATCTTAGTTCTCCACATTCCTTTGTTCTACTCCAATTTGCATTTGTCCTCTACCTATCACCTAAGTGGTACATCTTGTAAGTGCTTTACAAGTGGTGAATTCAGTAAAGGAGAGGGCCTGGTATGAGAGAGCCTGGTGGGCACTAAGGTACAAGGCACTCTCTTCGAACTGAAACAGGTGTGGTGACAGATCATGGAGAGTTGCTGAGATGGGGAAATGGCAGGGTGGGGCAGGCACCTGTCCTAGCTTGAGTTATATCTTGCATTGTTTCTGTGCATTTGTTTGAAAAGGTCCACCTCGTCACTAACTCATGTCCATCATCTCCTTAAAGTTCCAATTCAAAGCTCAAAACTTACATGTTCTTGGAAACTTTCCCCGACTAGCCCAACCTGATAGATCACTTATCTACTTTACACCCCCTGAACCTCTAGGAACTCCATTTATATTTAATTTTGTGCTTGTGGTTATCTATCTTTCCATTTCATGAGGATATATTGACTCCTCCACTAGATTATAGACTCTAACATCAATCAACAGTTGCTTGTTGAGACTTCACAAGATGAAAGTATATCTTGAAAGCTTGAACAGATAAAAATGATCATATGCCATAGGACCAGATGTTTTAGGAGGGTGGGCAAAGGGATTGGTGGGGTGATAAAACATCATGACTTTAAAGCTAGAGAGGTAAGGGTAACTCACCTCATTGCTATGGGAGTGTTAGACACATGTCAGTCAAGAAACAGCAAAATGGCCTTAGAAAATAGAAGAGACTTTGGTCAGGGAAGAGGACTAACAGGAAGCCCCCAGAAAACCACTGCTGTCATAAACTATGAACAGATATGGCAGGATATGGGAGGTGCAGCCTTTTTTTCCCAGTTTGAAACCCTAGACTGTATGTTCTCAAATGGATCCCCATTCACCACTTGTTTTTTTTTTTTCCTCTTGAAGGTCACAGGAGTTTGGCTCTCTTGCCTCTTTCACTGTCACCACCCACTCTTCTACCTGGGTGCCACCCCCCAAGACTGCTGCCAAACCGGCTCTATTAATTTGAATTGAGATAGGCATTTCCCCACTTCTTTGTTACCCTGCCCAGCTCTGAAAAAAAAAAAAAAGTACAACCCCCACCTAGGATTTTTACAGGATTTTCCCCTTGTAACCACAGGAAAAGATGCAGTGGTAGACATAAATAATAATGAGAAAATTCCAGATTGTTAGAAAGCACCACCTCTACTTGTCCCTGATCTTCACAGATGTGTATAGAATATGCATATTTTTGGTTGCCCTCTTCCCTAAGACATTTATGGTTTTATCTGTGAAAGAGTCCTTGTCTTAGGAAAACACCTTCTCAACCTTGTCTCTGTGTTGTTTTTTAAAAATTCTTTTTGGTTAGTAAATGTTTCTCAAAGTCCTGTTTTCTAGACACCAGACTAGCTAGGCACTTTCACAAAAAGTGAAGCCCTAGACTGAAAGACTCAGATTTTAGCCCTGAATAGATTTGAGTTGGTTTGCTAAGTTTGAGGCAAGTTTCAGTCCTTTCTGAACCCTGGAAGTCAGTCCATTGTAGTAAAAAGAACACTAGATTTTCAGGAGATCTGAGTCCTTGCATTGCTTTGTCATTCTGTTGACTACTAATAATAGTTACCCTAATATCAATAGTAACACTGGGTTTTTATTTTGTATTAGGCATCGTGCTAAGTGCTTTACATAAATTGTCTGATTTAATCTACACATGTATAATAAGCTTAATGTTATTACTTATTTTCATTTCACAAAAGAAAGTGAGACTTAGGGTAAAGGGTCAGGAGTCACTAAGAGGTACAGTAAAGATACAAACCTAGTCAGCCTGACTTCAAAGCCTATACAAGTCAATTCCCCTTTTCTGGCTTTGCTTTCTTTATTTGTAAAATGAGAATTATATATTGAATGATCTCCAAAGTCTCTGCTAGCTCTAAAATCCTACTTCTAGTGATCTCCACTCTGGGTACTATACTCCACATTGTCCTTTGGTCTTTTGGCTTCCCTGAGTTTAAACTTTACATCCAGACAAATTCAGTCCTGGATCCCTGCATGAAGAATTTCCACAATGTTTCATCCCTTAGGTTTTGAGGGTCCTTTGAGCTTCCTCTTTAAGCTTCCTATGGACCTGTATGGTTCCAATCTTTGAAAGTCCTACTGGCATAATATTTACCACAGTTTTGTTTTCTTCTTGCATATGCAAGGCAAACACTCCCTTTGAGTTATAGCCACAATCAATAATTTGTTTTGAGACAGGGTCTCCCTAAGTGGCACAGGCTGGCTTCCAACATGTGATCCTTCTGCCTCAGTCTGTGAGTTGGTGGGATTAGAGTTTCTGGGATTTCATGCATGTGCTGTGACACCCAGT